GGTAGTTCTGTGGTGGAGGCGGAGGGGGGAGGTCACTGGCTTGGGAGTTCTGTGGTGGGGTCGGATGGGGGGGGGGCACTGACTCGATAGCTCTGTGGTGGGGTGAAATTGGGGGGGGGGCTTAAAGAGATCGGGCATAGAGACTACGTATTGAAGGTCATTAGGTGAAACATTGTCTTTAAAGATGACATGATTCGACAACAACAACCAAAATACTCTTCTGTATGATAGTTCAAAATGCGATATAAGAAACAATAAATGCAGTATATTAAATTCATCCTTCATAATATTTCTAATTTTTCACCTTCTCGTTTCAGTGCCTTAATTAGGAAAGATGTGGTCAGTCCAGGCGGTGCTCCCCGTCGCCCTCTGTTGTTTTGTATTAGTCAGTAAAGTGACCAGCGGGCAGGGGTCAATGTCCAGCGTCTGCCGCCAAATGGCTCAGGCGGCCTGCGCGGCGGCCCACAGCGTCTGCAACAACGTAGACCGGACCTTCTCGTCTTCATCTTCGTCTTCATCTTCGTCCTCATCGGGCCAGGGTTCCAGCCAAGCAGACAACAAGCCAGTTCAACCCACCACAGGAAGTCCTACACCTTACCGCCCTAGTCTGGACTTCAGTGGACTGAGGAAACAACCAGGAAGTAATCCCCCGCCCATGGGTGCTTCCCAAAGTCTAACCAGAGCGCGGGACGCGGCTCAAGCCTTTAATAGATTTTCCTCCAAGCTCTACGACACCCTGGCCAAAGAAAAACCTGCAGAGAACCTGTTCTTTAGTCCACTGAGTATTGCCACCGTTATGTCTATGGTTTCTTTAGGGGCAAATGGAAATACAAAAGATGAAATGGAAACTGTGCTTTCGCTGAAGACATTGCCAGAAAAGAACGTGGGTCTCCAGGCCTTGAACGGAATTTTGTTTGGTGAGGAAAGGACATACATACTACGGGCGGCCAACAGGCTGTTTGCAAACCCGTCTTACTCGTTCCGTACAGCTTATCTACGGCTCTGTGAGTCCATCTTTAATGCTTCACTTCGGGGAGTTGATTTCCGGAACCCCGTTGCAGCCGCTAACATCGTCAACAGATTTGTAGAGGAGCAAACCCAGTCGAAGATCAAGAACTTGCTTCCACCCTCGTTGATAAACCAAAACACTGTGATGGTTCTCGTCAACGCTATTTACTTCAAAGGCACTTGGAGGCGGCAATTTGACGAGAGAGCAACTGAATTGAAAATCTGGTACCAGCCTGTGTCAGGGTCCAGATCTTTTGTCACAAAAAGTACGAAGATGATGTATCAACGCGGAAGCTTTAATTACAAATTTAGCCGCGAGCTGAACAGCAGGATACTTGAGGTTCCTTACAGCGGCGATGCCAGCATGTTCATCATCCTACCCGAGGTGTTTGATGACTATTTGGAAGTTGAGAAGAAACTAAGTTTACCCGGTGGTTTGAACCAGGCTCTGTCGGGACTAACAAACATCACTCTTGACGTGCATCTTCCCAAGTTTACTCTCAAGAATATGAAGGTCAACTTGAAGCGACCCTTGAACGAGATGGGGATGGTGGACGTCTTCGAGCGTTCCAGGGCTGATCTATCCGGTATTGCCATCCAAGCGAATGGTCTCTATATTTCAGCGGCTGTTCACGAGGCTTTTATTGCAGTAGATGAGAAGGGGACGGAGGCGGCGGCGGCCACCGCTGCAGTGGCCTCGGTGCGCTCCATGATGACACCCCCTCTCTTCAATGCGGATCATCCCTTCACTTTCCTGATAACAGAGAAGACCACTGGCGCCATATTGTTCATGGGTCGCCTCGTGGACCCCACGGGAGCGTTTGTGTAAATGGCATTAATGTGATGACGTTCAGATGACTTTCTGTGAAGACTTACGCCATCTGCGTTTTTTTTTCTGTTTAATTTCATGAGATAATTTCCCGCCAACGCGTTCAGCGTGTATTCAGATAGTTAATGCAAACATATATAATATGACATGAAGAACAATATTTGAAGCCACTAAAAACGCGCATGTTTGAAGAGTCAGTATTTTATCTATTTATATATGCTATACTTTATTTTATCTATTTATATATGCTAAACTTTATCAATCTTCTTTCCTCAGTCATTGTATCACAAAACACACGTACCTGTACTTTATTATAACCATTCATGTCATACCTGTAATTACGTGAGTTAACATCATCCTCTATTTTAGACACGTACGCTGCAGTTACCAAAATTTACGAACACCCCCTTTACTAAGTTGGAATGTAGTATATACTCTTTCCTTAAAGTTGGAAATAAATCTCAAACGTCAAACAATATGCTATTCAAAAATTTATCATACTAGTTGAAAAAAACTGGCTAGGAGACAACTTACACAGCTTTTTGCATTTATCAGGAAAATAAAAATTTGTTGAATGTAGGAAGGCAGTGTTATAGTCATTTTATAACGTCTTTAAATGACAAGAAATAAAATTAAATAAAACATTTAGGAGAGAGAGAGAAAAAAATTTTCAAGGCATAGGCCTATTCAAGCTCTTTCCCGGATGTTGTCTAATATTTCAAGTAACATAACTTAAAGTTCACTCGCATCACAACGATTGAACAGGATCCAAAGAGAGGGCTTTAACCAGGTTATTTTCTTTAATGGCTATATACAGACTGATGACGTCACCGACCTGACGGTGACCTCACTTCCCGGATATCTACACAACAGTCGCATACACTGCCGTCGCCCTGTCACTACCATATTGTGAAAGGGTACATGTACCCTCCTGTCAAGACAGAAAATCACTAAAATAAGCAAAACTAGATAAAACCGAGCAATCACCATCCTTCTGCCTAAAATATTACAGTAAAAACACCCTCGCTAACACAGCGCGACTCATTGTGTCAACTTAACATTTGGATGCTACGAAATTAGTAACTTGGAATGCTGATGAATCAAAACTTTCATGATCCAGATGAAATATGGTTGATGCTTTTTAATTTTTACTATTTCGTTGAATTAGAAAATCTTATAGTAACACTACAATCAAATGAACGTACAAAACCCGGTATGCTTTCTATCCAACCTGTACAACTTAATATCTTCAAATTCCACATTGTTATCCGCTCTAAAAGATGTAAACGCTAAACAAATTAGTCCTAAGTTAAAGGATGACATAAAACCTGTTAAGAATAAATTTATCAACAAATTTTTATTTCAAGTTGTAGCACCTTCAAATATAAAAATATCCCACATAAAATAGCACATTTTCAATATCTTGGTTCTTCTTCTAAATTGACCTTCAATATCTAACTTCTCCATACAATATGATAACAAGACAGCAAAGCTGCCAAATGCACAGACAAAAAGCAGAAAATAAAAATGCGCAAAATATTGTAGAATACTGTCAATTCTGATGGAATAATACAATATTATGCTTAACTGAAAAGTCAGCATCAAAAATTTAAAATTTCAAAATTAAAATTATGCATACCTAGTGTTGATGAAAGTAAAAGCATAAGGCTTCAGGCCGATAACAATTAAGTTCACACCTAGAAAATGCCAGAATGAGAAAAATGAAACTATCACAAAAAATTGCATGAATTTAATAAAAAAAGATAATCCAATAGACCTTGTTTTCTAATATGAGCTGTATGTCAGTCCTAAAAATTTTTCTTGTAAGTTAAGAAAATAATAATTAACACAGTTTTCTTCTCATAATGTGTGCGGTGGCAGTGCACAAAGTAGGTTTTTTTTTGTCAATTCTAATGCAATATTACATATTGATTAACGGAATAATTACCATCAATTTTTAATTATTTGCTATTAATAACATGGATATTTAGAAAATTTGATTACCACTGGGCTTCATGCCCATGGGAGTTCTAAGTCCCACAATGAACATGCCAATAAGTGAAAGAAAAAAAGTTCACAAAAATCTATAACTCCCAGAAAAAGAAGCCAATTAGACTGCTTATCCAACTTAGGCTCAATTTTAGTCCTGTGTTTCTTTCCTGTAAGTTTAACAAGAGTAAAGAATTGTTTTTTCTTTAATGGTCACTATAGGGGCAGGGTTTTCTTCCATTTTGGTGCAATATTATATAATGCTTAACAGCATAATCACCATCAATTTTTTATAATAAAATAAAAATATCATGAATAATCAGAAAATATGACTGGCAAAGGTTTTGAAGCCCATGGAAGTTCAAAGTTATACCTTGAAAATGCTAATATGTGCAAAAATTAAATTAAAAAAAAAAAAAACCTGTAAAACTTTCAGTAAATTACCTAATAAGACAGATTTCCTACTTTTCATTCCTGATGTGTCTGTACATAAAAATTTATTTCCATTACAGTATCAAACTGCATCCCTTGGACATGTGGTCTGTATTTATGTCTCAATATCCCACTAAGTAATTTTCAAATGATCACAGCTCTTTGCAGTGTATTTGAATGAGATGTCTAAAAATTGAAAATAATTTAATAATGAACACATTTTATATGGCAGAATGAACATTAATATACAAAATTAAGCTCCTACATAAATATTTCTGCTGAAGACTTAGAAAATTGAACAAATTACCAAGAAAGGGAACCGTTTTCAGCCAGATGGAGTCAAGAAATGTACAATGTTACAGTAGAAGAGTCGAGAACCATCATGAGTAAATAAATATCTGGCATTTGCTAAAGTTCCATGGCCAACTCCATGCATTGGCACTGGTCTGATGATGATGATGATGATGATGATTGGAATAAATTACAAGCCCTGAGAATGGCTTCCTGTGATGATTAACATATTTCTTGATAAGATGGTGTTGTAAGATGGGATGAATCATATAAAGGTGGCTGGTCGGGGGAGAGGGAAAATGATTTAGCAAGGAATACTACTGATATATACAAGTTATTTATCACAACTGAAAATGAAAGTTAAATGCATCGTTTTTAGAATTTCATCTGACTACTTAAGCAATCATTCACAAAAATAAGGGTAAAATTCATTGTTTTCTAAAGTCAATCTAAGGCTTCGTTCACATGCAATGTCTATTTTCTAAATTCTATTTTCTATTTGCGGTATGTCTTATGATCACGGTCTGTGCCCTGAATATCCCGCGGCGTAATTACTGGCAGCGCGAGCCAGTTACTATAAGTTACTATAAGTAACTGGCTCGCGCTGCCAGTAATTACGCGGCGGGATATTCAGGGCACAGACCGTGATCATAAGATAGCGCGAATAGAAAATAGAATTTAGAAAATAGACATTGCATGTGAACGAAGCCTAACTATACAATATCTTGTAACAAATATCCAATTAAATAAATCCCACAATAAAAAAGAAACTTATTCATCATCTCGAATAGCTTTTTCCAATTTGTCCCAATTACAATCTTTTCTGTCAAAAGGAACTTTAGCAGCTGCGAAGACTTCAAAGACTTCTGGCATTATGGGTAATTCTCCTGCTTCATTCTCACACAAGATGGGTATAACATAAGAACTGGGTAGCTTGGAGGACTGCAGAGCTAAACTGCCTCTTTTGTTATATTCCTTTATTGCTAAGTGTATCTCGTACAGCCAATCAGAATCCTTTACTGAAGCATGTGAAATAACAGCGATGACTTTTGAGCTATTTTTTATTGCGTTTGTCACACAGTTCAACACTATCTGACCAGGCATGAAGTCCCTGTCTTTTATGCAACCTTTCAACTCTTTTGAATTCTCTAAGGTTGTTAGTAAGTGAAAACTGACAAAGTCTGCATCAGAGTCACAATACATCACAAAAAAATCATACTCCATGCCTTTCAAGTTTTTGGCTCGTTTGGACTCGAAGCAATAAGCCAGAGGGGGAGATGAGGGCACTTGGCCCATCATGTCACTTGGGGGCTCTGTTGAAATATCACACTGAATTTCTTTGTCATTTTTTTCATGTATTTCTTCAGATTTTGCAGGTTTGTCAGCAGTGAGCGTGTCGTTGCGTGCTTCTCTTCTCTCCTGTTGAAATGTATCCTGTGCCTCTGGGTCGCCAGTCCTTACAATGTCAGTGAGAGGCTCTACTTGAACTGAAGAAGATGTGTATTCAGATTGAGCTGAAGCTGGTCTATATGTGTCGTCTTCATTGCTGTCTGGAGGCAAGAGATTAGGCGGCATCTCTGATGGCAACATACCTGCACCTTTCTCTTCCAATGATCTGCCTTCTTCTTGGACCACGGAAGTCTTCACAGAGTTAGGGTCTAAAGCTTGGGGTAGAGCCTGCGAATAATAATAATATATTTCACTGAGATGCTACAGTCTAAAGTTTAAAAAGATAAACATAACAAAAAGAAAAATAAAAATGTCAGAGCAATAAGTGCTATCATAATTACATGATCTTTTCAATGGGCAAAATTATCAAACTTTTGGATAAATATTTTTATAATCACAAAAAATTCATTGCTACATAGCATTTCTGGTGCTATTACTACACAGAATAAATTTAAAGAGTAGCCTGATTTTTAATTTTGTTGCTACCGCTCAACAGGAAAGTTCTAATCTAAGAAATTATAACTTGAAAAGTGCAATATCTGTAAAATTTACAATGTTCCCCCAATGAAAAGAATGAATAATTACCATAGACAAATATGTTCTATTATAAAGATATTAAAGGTTATCTCAAACACACACACCCATACACACACACACACACACACACCCATACATACCACACACACATACATACATACATACCACACACACACACACACACACATTCATGCATGCACGCACAAGCGCATGTACACACACAGCTACCTGTGACACAGCTAGGGTGGTTTCATCAACACCTCTATAGGTGGACTGTGAGGTTGGAGTAGCTTCCTTCAGTACGTCCTGTGATGTTTGACTTGATCCCATCACTACTTCTGGGACATCTACAGCTGCCCCTGGCATACTGACTGGCTCGGCTGCTTTGGGGGTTGGGGCCTGGAAAGTAAAAAAAAAAACATCAAGAACACTGAAACTAACTGCAATGAGGTCATTTTGAAATCCAAACACAATCACTGAAAAATTAAAAAAAGAAAAAAAATCTGAGCCAGAGTACTTTTTTTTTCACTACAGTGAACATGAGGGATACTTATTTGTTTCAAAATATTATTGGTAATACAAGTTACAATTTAGATCACTCAATATCTAATAATCAAACGAACAAACAAAGAAGCAGACATGCATATACAATAGTATTCATATCTAATGTGCACTGCAATTTTTTCCCCTTACCAACTGTATTTTCTCCAAACAAGTCCTAAGCTGGGAAACATGAAGATCACCTCTCTCTGCTGGTTCAGAGCCTGCTGTGGGGGCAGGTTGCTTGGGATACTTGTCAATGCACAACTTAAGTCCTTTTTCAAGCAAAGAAGACACATTTTGTTCATCTTGTTTTCCATCCTTCAGTTTAACACATAACTCAGTCAATATATCAGGCTCAAATGGTTCCTTTCTAGGACCCCACAACTCTGAAATTTCTTTGAGCAATTCTTTCTCTAAATATCTGTTTGGATGACATCCTTCAATCAACCAGTGTCTCAGCTCTCGCAGTGCAGTGCGGTACATGTAAGTCCTATCATCGCTTTTTGTCTTTGCACTCTTGCAAATCTGTAAAAGTACTAGCATCATGCAACGGAAAGATATTGTGAAAGTGCTGTTCGGTTCCTGACATTGCAAAGCATTCTTAAAGGATTCCAGAGCATTTCTTTTTTCCCCCAGATCAAGCAAGCACAGCCCTAGCAAATGATGCAACATTGGGATCCTTCCTCCTTGTAAATTATTTGTGGCATACTTGAAATAGTAAAGTGCTTTCAGGAGCATTTTCTCATCTGTCACTTGTCTATTTGTGTCTATGCCCAAAAAATGACAAGTTTCAGCCAAGTAGGCATAGTCCTGGGGATTAGGATTATGCTGAACCGCAATTTCAAGTTTCTCTTTTGCTTTAAGGGCTAATTCAATCCTTGGGTTTTTATCACTTTTTTGGTGCACTCTATCGTACCATTCATCCTTATATTTCTTTCTCAGATTTTCCCCCATGGATTTAAAGGCAAACCAGTTGCTCTCACACTTATCAATATCAATCGACTCCTCGTGTATTTCCATAGCTTCATCTTCTTTGCCAATATGCCATAAAAAATGAGCATATCTGTTGAGGATATTTGTGTAGCACGGGGCATAACTTCTAGCTTTCTCAAAGAATCCAGAAACACATTTGCACAACTCATCCTTGTTCTCAAAGTAAGGAGCTTTGACCAACCCCAGTTCTTTTAAGCCAGGGGGGACCTTAATATGACCATGCTGTCTGCGGTTTTTCTTCTTTGGAACAGCTGATGATTGAGCCTCTTGTTTATCTCGTTTGTTTTTACTCCTGTCTGTGTCTGTGGCTTGCTCTGAGGACTGTCCTGAACCAGCTCCGTTCTCTTCAGGCAGATGTTCTTGAGCTGATAAACCGAGAACATTACTGTAAACTTGTTCACAAAATTCCTCTAGGAATTTCATCTGTATGTTATCTTTACTATTTTGCTGGTTCAGTGGCTTGGACTTCACATTTGACTTTGTTGCAGTTGCATTTGGGTCTTTGCTAAACTGGCTCTTCACAGACTTACACTGCTGTTGTGATACATTGCTTGGAGAAAGCTCAGTTTTCTGGGGATTTTTCTTCCCCTTTGAATTATGATTTTGCATCTCCTGGCTTGAAGATACAGTTCTAATGCACCTACTACTCAGCAGATGTGCAATACTTGCCCAGGCTTGTGCTTTGTAATTATCATCCTTTGTGAACGTGACCGCATGGAACAGTTTTAGGGCAAGGCAGTGTAACTTATTTTTCTCAGGTTTACTGTGCATAACTGCCTCAGTCTTAATAATGTGGATTAAATTATGTGCCACATAAAAGCACCATTCTAATAATTCTCTAAGATCTATGACCACTTCTTTTCTGTGCACCATCTCCAATGCCTTCAAGTAGTAAGCATGGGCCTGTATCCCAGTCACACCCTGAGCTTCAACAAAAACATCAAACGCTATCATGTAGCCCTGTTCAAAGAAAGACCTGGCTCTGCAGGTTGGGTTTCCCTGCAACTGTTCTAGTTTTTCTCTATACTTTGCTGCCCTCTTAGAGACACCCACTTCTTGATAAACATACTGCAAGCTTGCTAGAGCATTGAGGTTGGTCAGGTCGAGTTTGCAGGATTTTTCAAACAGTTCAATGCTCCTGTAGATGTTGCCATCTTGATACTCGAAAACGGCCCTGAGGTTGAGGAGGGCACTCCTGTGAGGACCAGACTGGTGTTTATAGATGTCAAACTGGACTGCCTTCTTGTACTTTATTTGTAACTTGTTTGTTTGTGGATTGACACGCAGACCCAGGCTTTCAAATCCTAGAACAAAAATATCACATCAAATCTATAATTCATCACTGAAATGTGTTGTCAAAATAAATCACTGGATTCCCACTGGCATGGTTTTGTTTTTGACCTTAGACACCAGTCCCAGAGGTTAGATTGATCTACTTTAGATCGACTTAACTCCCTGGGGGTTTACGCTAAATAGCTGTCAGCCGAGCGGGCACGAAAGTTAAATACCCCCTTACAGCTTGTAGTAGGCGGGATGGACATTTAAGCCGGATTATCTGACAGTAATCTAGTGAGACTCCCCACAGGGATAGATCGATCTAAAAGCTCTGGGAATACGCCCTAAAAACACCTTCAGTCTACGTGAATGGAACCAACTCTGGGGGGACTCACATTGCCTGAAATCAGCTGAACTGAATACGGTAAAAACTTGAAAATTAAAAAGAATTATTATCTTTAATGGCATAAATCCGACGAATTTTTCTCCCCGACTCCTGGGTATGACAAAATTTTCAAAACTCTGACCTTCGGGCTTTTATCCTTTTTTACCGTAACATGTCTCCTCCTGGAATTTAAGTAGAATACAGAAAAGCTGATTATTATACGAGTACTTTGGAAACAAAAGGAGGCGTGTCATTCAGTTAAGCTGATTTCAGCCAATGTTCAGTGATGCAGTTTAAAAAAAAAACTTTTCACTTTTACCACCTTTATGGATGTTGTTAATATGTACTTCAAGCACATCATATCTCAGGTTGTCATCGTTTTTCTATTAACAAACAAGACAAAGAGCTACTCTAAGCTTCAGATCTAGTGCTGGCACCCCTAGTATAGCTGGAATAAAAAGACTAAAACTTTATCAAACTAGTGTGTGGACTAAGACAAAAGAATTTTTTAAGGAATTTTACCATGATGGACACACATGTTCCCCAGGATGTGAATATTTTTAGCCTAGAGGGTTTGAAGCACAAACTGAGGCAAAGTAACCATGGGGAAAAACTAAATAGAATATTACATTACCTGGAATGAGGGTGAGCTCTTGTGTCTGGATTGTATTGTCACTCATGACTAGAACACTGGCGTGCTACAGGGTCTTGAAACAATGCAGCAAAGACTACCATTTATGTATCAAACTTATCATCATAGGACCATATGAGGATGCTCAAGGATCAAAACTGGAAATTGAACCATTACAGCTATTGTTATTATTACCATTATACATGTAGTTATTATTTGTAATGAAAAAATGCTTTGACTTAAATTAGCCACTGTGTTGATTGATCATCATAGTTTGACATCTTACCATACTCAAAACTCGGTACTCATGCAGCAGTCCCCCTCCCCCCCCTGCCCCAACCTGAAACCCTCTAATTTTTAAGGCTAATCAAAAATAAGTTATGCGGTGACTTTGAACAATGTCTCTGCTATCCAAATACATTAGTTTGGAAATTGAATCACTTATAGTTTCACCTTTTTTTTTAACCTTCGAGTTCTTTGTCCAATGAGATTACAGCATGTGTTCACCCCCAGTGATGTCCTCGGCTCTCATGATTTTTGAAAGGCATTAAGTTTCCTGTAAAAATATTTTAAAATTAGTAAATGAATTGCCAAACTTATTTATTAGAGTAGCAGAGACATTGCTCCTAATCACCACGTAAATTAATTTAGAAAAGACATCGAATGCCACAGAGTTATATCGGTAGTGGGGGTAATACTACTGTACTGAGTACAACAGTGCCCAACACTTCCCCTCCGTAGTGTGTGGTAAGCACGGTGGAGAGAAATATGTCTTACACCGATTTAGACTTCCTTATGAATTTACTATTCAAGTAACAACACCAAGTTGATGTTAAAGGAAACAGAGTTACCGTCTGCAAAAATGTGTGCATCCCACCTAAACGGTAAACATAATTTTAAAATGAACTTTCCATATCATCATCGCATTCATTCTATGTTTGCCGTCGGGAAATCCCAACCGGAAGTTCCCACAGCTCGCGTAGAAAGGTTTACATATTAAAAATATCTTTAAAAATCAGAACAGTTATATAACTGTATAGTATTTCATTATTTGTAGAGTTTTTAGTGCAAAAGTTTTTCTGCACACTTGAGTCCAAGCTTACGACATGATTACCCTCTTGTGGCACATTCCGGGGCATTTTTCTGATCTCTAATTCACTAAAGCCCAGTGACTAAAGTCAAAAAAAATCCCCTCCAGATATGGCCTCAGCGATGCCTGTTGAACAGAAAAAGCTCCCAGAAAAAGCTCTCAGGGCAGGTAATTAGTCTAAAAAATCAAAGTCGTGCCACTAGTTTACAGCAGCAGGTGCATTGTAAAGACATATCCCGTGGTAGTCTTCTCATTTTGCCTTCCGCTTCCTGTTACTGTGTTGTCCCTATGCTGTCCCTATGAATGAATCTAAAACCCACGAAATGAATTTGTATAATAATAACACACTTGTGTAACGTAATGTAATTGTTGATCATAATCAGTTTAGATATTTTAAACTTTGTCAACAGAACCCAAAACGCTACTGTCCTCAGTGGATCATGTCTTCAGTGGGTATACATGTACAGTAGTTGCCCGCTGAGGCTAGAGAGTTTATATACATAGTACAGTACGTATGTGGCAGTGGTGAGAAAGTTTTGGACATCACTGGGATGGTGCAGAGGGTTAGATTGAGGTGGACAGTGGTACCGGCAAGATAGCCCCCCCCCCCCCCCCCCACACACACACACACAACAAATGTTTTTTTTTTAATGATTCTACATGTATATCCCATGACAGGGGTCAAAAGTGAGTTGATTGGACTATGTGTCCTTAGCACCATGATTTACCCTTCACCTATCATCCCAGCAGTACATGTGTGGGTGGCTGACATTGATGCTGATTTGCTGAGGCTACTTTTCAGGAAGGAAATTCTGTATACCAGTATCAAAATATTTATTTTATTTTATTTTTTTGTCAGCTCACTTTGTGGGCCAACATTAGATACAGAACGCTGGCTCCCAGATTGTGACTGAACTGTAATAGCTCAATCATTTCAACCGGGGAAAAATTATCACTTCTTTTAGATATATATAATTTTGGAACCGTTAGAAGTACATTGCTGTGAAGCATTTTGCTGCTTACTGTATAGAATAGAACTATTAGGTAGTCTGCTTATAACTACCACTCAGTAGGTTTGTTCTAATTTAAAGAATTTATTACTTTAAAAGCATTTGTAAAATTCACAATTTTCCTGGTTGAAATGATCTAGCCATTACTGTACCACACAGCTGTCCATACTTGGTACAACTTGTCTTAATGATATCAGCACCAATATCTACCCTGATATTTATTTGTCCATTAGGGATGACAGAGTTGGAAAACCAGGCTGAGTTTGATATATCAAATATATACCAGCATGTTTTTGTTTGTTTGTTTTAGGTTTTGAGAACCTTTATCTGAAAGCCAGTCCGCTGACCAATAAACAGCATATGAGATACAAAAGAGCCGTTCAGAAGTATATGTTAATCCCACAGAAGGGGCCCCATAAATATGCTATGCTAAACCTTCTGGGGGTGCTTCAATACCAAGATGGGAAAACAAATGAAAGTATTAAAAGTTTTGAAAGCATTCTTAAAGAAGATGGTACAAACTTGAATGCCTTAGCCAGCCTGGAGTATATTTACAGGGAACTTTTTTGTGTCTCAAAAGCTGAACAATATAAGAGGAAGTCTGAAGAGTTAATGGGTGGCAATGAACCTAGCATTGAAGAAAGAAAGCGACGGGGGAGGTGTTTTTTTGAGCAGGGTTACATGATTGCATTTGATGTACATGAAACAACAAAGCCAGAAAGACGTGGCAAAGTTTGTGTACGGGCTCACGAGTCATACATGCAGGCGTGGCAAGAGGCAGGAGATTTAGTAGATGAAGTGGAAAGAACTGAATGGTGTTTTTTTATTGCTCACAATTTGTCTCAAATTTGCCATAATCAACCAGTTTTAGAAAGCTTAAACAAAAACTTGGACGAAGACAGTGCCTTTGAAATGGTCATTAAACTCTTTAAGAAAGTGATTAAAGGCAAAGACAGTCATTACAAAGCACAGGGCTGGCTTCACTTGGGTTGTGTTTTGTCCAGTAGAAAAAGAAAACAGAAAAATACAGAATCTGATACCATTACACTTAATTCAGCAGAAAAAGCAATTCATCATCATACTCATTCACAGCAGGCAGCTCAAGATGGCTTCAACAAGTTCTGTGCATTCATAGATTTTGAGCTACAAGGGAAACCGCAACATGGTATAACTGATATCATGAAGAAAAACCACTTAGAGGAATACTACAATAACCCTGAGCTTTGCTTCCTTTTGGCAAAAAGGAATACCCCTAAAAGAACAGACATTCTTAACAGGTATGCTAAATTTTTGAGCCAAAGGAATAATAAAGATTCTAGAGATTTTGAGGAAGCCAAGACCCTTCTCTTGAAGTCCATAAAATTGGATAATGGAGATAGTAATTGGTTTGCATACCTGCTTATGGGTGACATGTTCAAGCATAGGTATGTAAGTCAGTGGTATGCCAAAGTGAATATGGGCAAGGGACAACTCCCAGAGAAAACAATGGCGGCGACTGCTCAACGGTATTACAAAGAGGCTGTCGAAAGGAACCCAACACCACAACTCTATGCTAATCTGGCTGAAATAAGTCATTTTCTTGGTATTAATGAAAGGAGAGAAGTCATCGATGAGGATCAGATGTTAGACGCGGTTATTAACTTTAAGCATGCTTTGGAAAGTTTAGATGGAGAAAAGGATCCAAGTATTCACCAGAGAAGAGGTCGGTGTTTAAGAGATTTTGACCAAGAGAAGAGTGCTGTTGAAAGTTTCAAGAAGGCTGTAGAAACCCAAGAGCCTGAAAGCACTCATATATATAGCTTCCGCTGGCTGATTGATATCCTTGCACAATGGTGCCAGAAAAACAAGCAGATGCTGAGAGATATCAATGGTGTGGAGGCAAAGAGCCCTGAAAATAATTCTGTAAATCAATCAGAAAACAACTCAGAACATGCAGTCAAAGCAGCTTGCAAGAAAACAAAAGGAGAGCTACAGTATTGGTTTAGTGAAGGATGTAAAAAATTTAAAAAGAAAAACCTTGATGAAGAGATTCAGCGATTTTGGAATCCAAAAGACCAGAAAATTACAAGCTGTCCAGATGTCATGGTGGATTTGTACAGTGATCTTTTGCAGAATAAGAAGAAGACGCTAGCAGACCGTTTGAAGAAAGGTTTGAGTGACTTACTAGCACACTATGAAAACAGCACTAACCAAACAAGGCCAGATCCTAGTGAAGTACAGGCAGGTGCTCCTGTATCAAGGGATGAAGTACAGACAGGTGCTCCTGTATCAAGGGATGAAGTACAGGCAGGTGCTCCTGTATCAGGGGATGAAGCTGCCTCCAAAATGCTCAATGTTGAGGTGACACAGACAGAAGCAGGAACTGATGTAAGCTCCCCCCCCTGCATACTGTCTTGAGTGAATCATATTCACTGATGTTTTTTTTAAAATCTAATACATGTAACAATTATATTTTGAATCATTTTAAAAATTACTTTGTAGGCTAGGAGTTTGCTGTAGGGAAAAGTATTATTTTGTGCCGTTTTATTGGGAAGCTAAAGTTACTGTTAATGAATGCATTCAGAACAAATTGATCTGCAGTCTAACATATCCACGGATTAATTACGGTTGACCCTGATTAAAAGCAAGCCACATAATTCCCTGATGGTCGTCCTGCCTCCACACATGCTGTTGCTGCAGAGCCGAGATTTAATCTGTTTAATGATGCGTGTGGAGGCGGGGAGACCATCAGGGAAATAAGCAGCTTGCTTTTAAGTTTGGTCACCCATATTTCAATTTGGCCATGGATCAGTTTGTCCAAGGATCACCTGTTCTAAATGTGCTCAGTGAGAATAAAGATCATACAATCCATTTAATAGATACCAGATCCAATCATTTACACATGTGTTAAATAGCAGTTTAACAGGTATACTTTGTAGCTGTCATCTTTTTGGTAATTTCTCATTAAATTCAAACAGTGTTACTTAACTGTATAAATTTTATATTTCAGAGCAATAATACTGTTTCCAGGAAAAGATAAGAAACGATAAAAATAATTTGGATTGAGTTCATGAACTATTACTTGGAATGAATAATAAAGCACTGGTATAGGTGAATATCAAATATTGTAATTTCAGGTTTTACCTGCTGGAAGTAATCAGAAGGAATTCTTCTTAGGATATGTAAGAAAACTTGATGAAATTGATGAGGAATTCGAGAGAAAGGTAATGTAACTTACATGTGTTAGTTGTGTTTGATTCTGTAAAAGAGACTTTTTAAACAATCTTGAAAATACATGACCCAAATGTTCACAGCTCTTCGTGTGTGTGTGTGTGTGTGTGTGTGTGTGTGTGTGTGTGTGTATTGGGGGAGTGCTAGAGGTAAAAAAACGACACCCAAATATCGGGATAAATCCAGAAGGTTTATGTGACTGTTTTTTTTCTTTTTTTCACTGTAGGCTGACAGGGTGGCTAAAACCACAGAAGACACTGAAAATGCAGAAGGAACAAAGAGGAGCAATGAAAGCCAACAAGTGGTGCCATGTAATCAGGACAGCCCTCCGACACCTCCTGCTTCGACATCTTCCTGTGAGGAGTCAAGTTCTGCTCCTGCCCCAAGCACAGAGGACAAGAAAACCAAAGATCCTGGGAAAGTGACAGATTTTGAAGAAAATGTGATACAAAAAGACTTGAACTTAGAAAATAAGAAAGTTGAACGTTGTGATTCCAATTCAGAGTCAATCCCTCCACCTCCCTGCAAAGCTAAAAACAAGAAAGGAAAGCTGTATGATTTTTATGTTATTTACTCAGAAGAAGAAGACTCAGACTGGGTGTCTTACCATTTATTAACTACTCTGGAGGGCACAAAAGGATTTAAGGGTTGTGTCAGAGAGAGAGATTTTATTCCAGGTACAGACTATGTTGATTCGATAGTGGAAAGCATTAAAAATAGCTTTAAAGTGTTAGTGATTATTTCAGGCAAAAAAACGAATGACAAATGGTATAATTATGAAGTGGATCAAGCTATTCATCAGAAACTAGACTCAGAACTGGATTCTTTTGTAATTCCGATTTGTAGAGAAGATGCCAACAAGAGTGACGTACCATTAAAACTAAAAACTGTTATTGCATGTTCCATGGTGAGTGCCCATGATTGGGAAAAACTAGAAAGAGCTCTAGATGATGACAATTCCCAGTAATATGTTGGCAATACATAGTGTATTCAGAACAGAGGATCCATGGAGTAACTGACCCGCAGACTAAATATGGCTGACTCAACTTAAGAGCATTGCCACTTAAAAAGAAAATATCTCTTCGTACGAGATCTATATGTCACAATAAAAACATTGTGAACAACTCATAGAAATATAATATATTCTGTTGTACCACAAAAACGGCAGTTATAGCTATTATTCTGATATCTGAGATTGTCATCAGACCACGTGACCTCCATACATGGCTATACTCTGTTATAATCTCTTAAGAGATTATTACAAAAAACAAAAACTTTTTTCAAAAAAACCAGGGACTAACTTTGAATGTAAAAATGGATTCATTAACCATTGATAAGTATGGAAAAATTGTTGTTTACTCCAGGAAAATTCATTTTTTGGCCAAAGCAAAGAGTTATTATCCTTTTAATGCCCTGATGGTCTCCACACGACGTGCCATTAAACAGATTACGTAAACCTGCAGCATCTGTGCATGTGGAGGTGGGGAGACCATCAGGGGATTAAGTGGCACTGCTTTTAAGTGGGGTCAGCCATATTTAGTCTATGGATCAACTTGTTCTTAATGTCCTCATACTAAATGTTCATTACTGTGATGGCTGAACTATTTGTGACCAGTCAAACTTCTTGTCAAGCTGTTTGTTGACTGGGTGCAAAGAATTTGAAATTAGAGTACTCCAGACTGCAAAAAACGAGGAGACTACTAAAATGGGTAACAGAAACTAAAGTTCATTGAACTTATTAATATTAGGATGCCAGTATTCAGTTGAAATTGAAATGAGTACTATTTTTCCCTTCAGAATAAGTTATCCTGCCATTTTCATAAAAAAATTGTGAGGAAATTTTAGATATCCTATCCACTATAAAACAGATGACCAAAAATGATGACAGAAAATCTTATTTCATTGATAATGTGTTTAAAAAAAAAAGGTATAACAAAAGCTGTTGAATCTAGGAAGCAGTTTGACTCACCCTTTGTCTAAAAGAGGAGAAAATGTGCCTTTCACTGTTATTAAAACAAAACAAAACAAAACAAAACTCCAAGTGAAGCGGGATAATAATAATTTACTCCTAATGTGATACTACAGGTGACTGAAACTTTGTAGGATTCAGTTATGTGTGTAGGTGCATAATTTTTGTTATTCACTGTTCATTGCAATGTGAACTGAAATGCTTTTTCTACAGTATTTAGTTCAGATAATGTGGGATATATAAAGTGATGTATTTCTTTTTGAGGGGGTTGGGGATGTCCAAGGGACACACATATATTATTTTTAGTTTACTTTATTATGATGATGACTGCAAAGGACACAAACCTTTAGCAAAATGTGTATAGGCATTTGATGCCATCATAAAAGTGGGATAATATTTACAATCTTGATGTGATGCCATTTTTTTGTGATCTGATGTTTTATGACTGATGGCTAATTAGATACATGATGTTATAGTGTGTACGTTAGTGTGCATGTGTGTGTGTGTGTGCGTGTGTGTGCGTGCGTGTTTATTGTCATTGCAATGTGAATTAAAATGCTGCATTTTTAGCATTTTAGTCCAAATAATGTGGGATACATCATATGGTATTTAAATGTATATTTTGTCAACAGGCAATCATCTTTAGATAGATTTTTATTAATTTTTACTTTCTGAGCTGAGGCAATGCCCACAGTATAACGTAAATGCACAAGTTCTGCAGGAACTAAAAGCAAGGCTCATACAAGCCATTCAGTAATGTATGTCTGTTTATGTGTCAGTTATTTATGATGATTTGTGGTAATTACATGATTTTTTCAATGGAAGGATATTGTGAACTTTACAGAATACTGTTTTTTTTTTTTTTTAAGCTGAAATTTCTCAAAATAAAAACATCCCTATTGAGTGGTAGCAACAAAATTAAAAAGCATGCTACTGTGCAATAAAAAACACCACAAATGCTGTCTAGAAATATTATGTTTGTGACTATAAAATTATATATCTGAAAGTTTGATAATTTTTGTCCATTGCAAAAGATCAAGTCATTACTGTAGTTTTTTTGCAATGCAGGCATGACAGACAGCATGACAGTGTGACAAATTTAAAATCTTTTTCTGCAAACTTTTGCAAGCAAATTTTTAACCTGCAGGGCTGCTTGATTAAAATTTCGTAATTTAAAGGGTAAAATGTGTTTTTTTTTTGTATTTAATTAGGGTTAAATGAAATCTTGTCCGTAAAACCTTGTCACAGTGGATATGAGAGTAGCAAAAGTGACATTTCCTAATGTCAACAAGCATCTCCTTGCTGCCACCAGGGGGCACTCTCCGGGATCGCTCCCAATGAGACTGTTACATTGATAGATCTAACTTTGCAGGGACTCTTGCTGAGTGCAATCAGATTTACACACCTTCTGGTATTAAGTAGAGTCCAGAAAAGCTGGTGATGATATGAGCATGTTGGAAATGAGGAGGCTTGTTAATCTGATTGAATTCAGGGAGTCCCTGCAGTGTTGGATCAGTCAACATAGAACGATAGCTCCATTGGGAATGAACCCTTACAGAGGTGTTTGGTGCTTGTTTTGATGTCACAGATATGCACTGTCATTTTATAGATGAAGAAAATGTCGATGTTGGGTTCATATTAGGAGCAGAACTTTATTTTTAATTGGAAGATTGATCAATATTTGTTAAATCTTTCTGTGAAGATAGTTCCATTCATAAGACTCAAAAACTTGCAAAGAAATGACCAGTGTAAGTTCTGGTTTACAGAGGATGATATTCATCATCTTATTATTGATTAGATGTTATCTGTAACATCTTTTTGTGAGATTTAGAAACTTAAGGTTTCTTTTAGTTGTAGTCCTCTTTGGAGAAGATAAAAGTTAGCTTTCATTTTGTTGTAAAATATTTATATATCACTACATTAGTTGTACAGAGTTCTCAGAGTTTAAAGATGATCATAGTGAAAATGATCTCATTGAGTTTATTGGTGCCAAAGCTTACACCAATCTTTAGCTTACAAATTTGACAATAAAATGATTGAAAGATGAGTTTTGTACACTATAGCTTTTCTTTCCTTAGTCTAAATTTCGTGTGAGAGCCTGCAGAGAGAAAGCTACTGCAGCCTCTGTTTTTATATCACATGTCACTCTGAACTTTCAACTTTCTTTGGTTCAGTTTCACGTGGAGAAGAGGCTGAGCTGTATCAGTGGAACAACTTTTAGAGTTGTGATGTCTGCTAATACACCCTGAAATACAAATAATTTTCTTTAATTGAAGAAATTAAAGTTACTCAGCGCACTGAGATAAATAAAAAAGTGCTTATAAAATTAACACAACAAGAAAAAGTAATCTCAAAGTTATAAGAGAATATATATTAACATAAATCATAGATGAATGAAATTTTTCAAACTTTTTGAGCTTTAAAGAGTTTCAATGATAATTAAACATTTGCATGTATCAGATATCAGATTATTTTATAAATACTGATGTGTTGAATATTAAAAAATAGCCAGGGTTATCTAAAGACCCACCTCTGCTGCAGAAGCTGTTCCAACCTGTAGGAGATTGGTCTTCCTAAATGAAAAAATTGCCACAGCTAACACTGAAAGAGGAAAAATTAAATAAAATATATTTTTTATTTGATTCCATTATCTGTTGCAGAAGAAAAAGCTGCCCATAAAAATTCGAAAATTAGATATATTATAATATTACATAGAATATTACCTGTGAGTTTTAAGTTAGTATTCTGTCCCAGACTTGCCTGCCAGTATCTCCAGTGAGTTGTAAGCTAGTATTCTGTCCCAGACTTACCTGCCAGTATCTCCAGTGAGTTGTAAGCTAGTATTCTGTCCCAGAACTTACCTGCTAGTATCTCCAGTGAGTTGTAAGCTAGTATTCTGTCCCAGACTTACCTGCCAGTATCTCCAGTGAGTTGTAAGCTAGTACTCTATCCCATAGCAGCAAGACCTGTTCACTATCAAGGTAACCTGAGAATGCTCGTATTAACCACTTAAATGCAATTCTCAGCCTAGAAAAGAAATATTACAACTTATAAAAACATACAAGTTTTACTCATGGGTAAAAAGTGATTTATCTTTTCGTAATGGTTTACTTTTTAAAAAAAAAATCCAGATATACTTACGGCTGAGCCTGTATGGTCTTTAAATGCAGAAATAACTGAGGTTCTTGTGATTGCAGTAGAGATTCAAACAGAAGACACAAAGACACAATACTCTGGAAAGACAAAGATGTATTCACAATACTTGACCAGATTTATCAAGCCAAAATATAAAAAAATCTGTTGCACTATTTTTATGAAAGTAAATTCCAATTATCATTGTTGTTCCTTAAGCTGAAGTTTACAAATTACTGTGCTATAAAAGAAGCATGACTTTGGGAACAAATGTGTTTAGTGTACCGTTAAAGATAACCTACCTGCGGATGAGAGGAGATCTGGTGAAGTCTGAAGAAATACCTCATGTAGAGCTCTCTGAATACGTAGTACAGGACTACTGGGTCATCATAGATGTAGCACAGAGGAGCCACTGGAATACAAGAATATGGTAAAAGTATTCTACATTTCTGTGATCAACTTTGTCCACAGTGGTGACATTTATTGCACTGCACTGCACTCTCTCTTGATCATGAGTAGGGATATTCTTCATAAAATTTGAAAAATGTTTTAATTGGGCATATGGTATACAAATTATTTATACAAAGTAAACTAAAAAAGCTTATCTTTAAAAAACAGAAGTTTGATTGTGGTGTAGTAAACAGTGCAAACAACCTCTGGTATATTTGTGTCCAATTTTTATTGTCATTTGTACATCCTTAACGAAAAATTCTTAGAATATCCTATAAGATCCTGTAGGATCCAATAGGAAATTGGGCCAATTTCCTATAGAATCCTATAGGATCTTGTAGGATCCTATAGGACTTTTTTGTGAGGGATATGATGTACAGTGCAGTGGGTGTTATTGGCAACAGTAGAGTCATGCTGATATAGACTGAAGTGAATTACCAGAGATCTCTGAAACACAGGGCGGTCTGAAAACGTCAGACTATATATAACAAAATGTCAATTTGGCTTCTTTGGAACAAACTACAGTGATGAAATTCAGCACAAGCCTGAGTTTACATGTTTGGGATTAGTTTCACCAGTGCTGACACCTATCTTCTGAGAAAAGAGGCTAATCCACAGTGATCACTGACACTGCTGACACCTATCTTCTGAGAATAGAGGCTAGTCCCCAATAATCTCTGAGACTGCAGAAACTCACCATACATAGCAAACCCGTGGAATGGAATAACACCATTGGGAGGATAGTGAACTGCAAACTCCTCCACACCTAGCTTGCCGCGGATGTAGGACTTCGGGGGGTTGGCACTGCTGTGTTTAAAGTGGTCCAAGACTTGGGTATCTCGGGAAAAGGGGAATAAAACCTGGGGATAAATGATATATATATATATATATATATATATATATATATATATATATTGTTGTTATGGTGCATTTTGGCCTTCAGATGCATTTTCTAACACACACTTACATAAACAGAAGAACAAACAAACAAAAACTGCCTTAATGTAAAATAAATAACTACACAAGTATTGTAATTGACAAATCAGAATTTCAAACAAATAAACAAATGAATGATGATAATAATAATATTATAAATGAATAAACTGGAAATTTCAAAATGGAGACAATGTTAATGGTTGAAATTTTTCTGGACCAGCAATAATTACTTCAGGGGTTATATATCATCACCAGTGCTTATCATCCTACAATAATACCGCCCGATTTCGCAGAAGCAATTTTCAAGACATTAATTGAATAACTATACCAATATAACAATAAATCAAAAAGTCACATTTTCAAATAGAACAATTTCCCAGATAACACTACAGAGTCAATCAGAAATAATCTGACTTACTAAAAAAAGATGAGATGATGCCCTGAGTGGACATGTACTAATACTGAGCAGAAAAACAGGAAAATATTTTAGACATTTTGATTGTTTAGAAAATTATCTCAGGTAATGAGAAGCAATGCCTGTGTTATGCTGTATTTAGTTGGAAAGTTTTATGACAAAATGGCCAGAGATTAATTTATATCATTTAAGTACACATGATTAAGAACACACACACACACATGCACGCATTCACGCATGCACACACACACACTATACTGGATGTAATCAACTTTAATAATCAATGCTACAAATTATTAAATCAATAAATAATTTGTACCATGATGACACAATAAAGAGGTAAATAAATTCCATAATCACCAAAGTAAAATATTTTTGGAGAACTCATTACGTTGTTAGACTGTCTGTCTGCAATGTGAAGATTGTTTTTCTTTCTTTAAAGTCCCTGTATTGCCCCAAGTGCTTCTACAAACAAAACAATAATGAACTACTCCAAGGTTAATTAACTTATCTAAAAATTCTAATGGATACTGGAAATGTTTCACAACCAAAAAGATCATCTAGTTGGGACTGGGAAGGCACTCTTAGTAAAGCAATATACATGTACAGTAATTAAAATATCAATCTTACCTGATATATGTAGTCTTCAAACACAAAATACTGGTCATCATTTGTAGCCGTCAGTTTAACATCCTGATATGAAAAAGAAATAAACTACTGAGACAGTTTATCAGAAGACAAACGTTTAAATATATGAATAAATATGATTAATATCAGTGAAATGAAAAAATTACACACTCTTTAATAAATATATTAATATATTATAATATTTTATTTACCCACCACTACCAATTTCCCTGCCAATATTAAATATTACATTAAATATCATATTATTATGATATGAATGTACTTCTAGTATACAGGAAAGACCATGAAAATGAATGACACTTAAAAATTACATTGAATGTATTTCACAATATATACTCTTTATTCTTAATATCAGTGTGATTGCTGTCTCCCAAACACCCCCCTCTCCCCTGAGTTTATGAGCTTAAACAACAGTAATTACAAATTATTCCATTAAGTCTGCACTGGGAATTAAAGCACAGGTCAAGGCAATTAATCATTCTGTTGTAGAGTTTTTTTTATCTGAGATTTTTAGTCGCCCTCTTTACTCCCAGATGGAACAAAATACCCATTATTAATGTGTGTGAGAATGTCAAGCACTTATAACGATAATGGTCTTCACTGATATTAGACTGATGTGAAAGAGTCTGGTCATTTCGGTGAAAAGGTCAAGGTCAGGGTCAAGGTCAGGATCAAGGTCAGTCCTGATTTTTATGACTTCACGGGAATCTGTGATGTCAAGAACTTAATTACTTGGTTGCTGACTGTGATAATCAGATGATCAAATGTCAAATATAATAACTACAGTCATTAATTCTTCAACAGAACTGTCATGGCTGTATTCTATGGAATATATTCTGTGTGATTGTGGTAGACTGTTTGTTACCTTCTAATATGTTGTTTTGGGTCCTTTTTGACAAAATGATAAACATTTTTTTACAAAATCAGGCTGTGTATTAAGCAGTAATGAGACTGCCATTTTGTGAAAAAAATACATGGTGTGGGGTCCAGACCCCCCTCCAGTTATTATTGCAGATCTGGATGGATCTAAAAAAAAAGATCCCCGAGTCCAGCTCACCTTATAAATGAGACTATCTACCAGGAGATCATGCTGCACCACATAGGACTTCAACTGCTCATAGTATAACTGATCCTGAAAATATAATATATACAATATTATCTTTGTTTATTGCTTTATCTTTTTATTAATTTCTATTTGCAAAGTACTTAATCACCATTTCAGTGGTATATTTGTTTACATAAAAATTCTTCTTCTAAAATAGTATTTTAGAATGTGTTACTTCAAGGAAATGTCATATAACACTTATGTGAAAGCTGTAAAAACTGAAAATCCTGAAAAAGTAACTGGCAATTTCTGAATGCATTTAGACCAAAAGCTTTAAAAAAATCAAAATGAATATACAGAATGAAGTCAGACCTAATCCTGAAAACTTTTAACCATGATAGCATCATTAATAGTTGATAATTATTTTTTTTTTACTTTTAAGTTAGACCAGTCTATTCCTAATGCAAACAGGCCTTACAGCACATAAAAAGAAAAATACACTTCTCAACATTACACCAAGCTCCAAAAAGACAGAACCCAATCAAAGTCAGATATCAATAAAGCATGATAACAAAATCATAACTCTCAATCACCTCTCTGCATGTTGGAAGTCCAATAAGTTCTTCTTGACCAAGGCAAGAAATTGATTATCTGTGACACTTGATTAAAAGAAGGCTGACAAATCACCTCCGTTCTAGCCCAATTACATCACAATTAGAGAGCTAATCCTCAGGAGGTCTATCATCTATCAGACGATGTCACTTAAACTACTTTCTCCCTCAAACAGTCACTTAAAGTACGTCCATGCAGGAGGTATTGTTTTCCCTGCATATCACTATTTCTCATCTCCAAATATGACTTTGCTGAACTGGCAACCAAAGATATAGTTTGTTTCAGCAAATATTTCACATAGACAAAAATTCAGTGGGCTGAAATAAGCAGAGTATTTCAAATAACAGATTGCAATAAATCATTGTACAATAATTTATTGTGTTTTCGATAGTATTTCTTCATTCAAAATAAATAAGTTGCCTTTTTGTTCATGAAGAAGATATAATTTATATGTCTAGAGTTATCAATTTCAACAAATGGTCTATAGATAATAATCTGTTGCTCCTACTCAGCTGATGTAAATCATCAGAATCATGATTTGTCTTTTTTAGCTGTTCTTACGTTCAACTGGCAACAATTGTCAATTTTGTTCATTATGTTTGCGGTGCAATTTCCCTCAGGTATTTCACATCTTTTCGCTGACGTCGAGGTTACATTTTCAAATGTCTGTCAGTCTGTCTGTCATCTGTTTTCTTTGTAATTGCCCTGTAGCATTACTTCTAAGCTTTTCTGTTTGCAGACAAAGTGAATTAACTTATGCATAGATACAAACAAATATGTGAGCAAATCTGTTTTTTTAGATAATTCATTTTCAATCCAGAGTTTTCCAGTAAGGCAATAACCTTAGGCAAGAGTACGCCAAACATACTGCCACTCACTGTAATTGACCTTGAAGGTGTCATTCACCCTGTCTCCCCCCCCTCTCCCCCCAGACACAATACAATAAAGGTTAATCCCTTTCCATCTACATGATAATCAGCTATATCTTAGTCTGAGATACTCTTTAAGCTAAGGCAGAAGTGTACATCCCTCAGATCCAGGGCTCCCTTTATTACTACCACATACCTTTGATCTTCAAAAATTTACTGCTCCCCCCCCCCCACTCCAAATGGCCTTATACAGATTTCACCGATGACAATCCTTTAAATCCAACAGAACTGTATACAATATATTTAGTGTTTTCCAACATATTTCCAATTCAACATATTTTTACATATTTTCAACATAAATTGCTATCAGCTCAAGAGGCTTAAATGTCTGTCACACCTACCTAATCAGCTAGGGTAAAGATAATTAACCCCTAACAGCTTTACTAGGCGTGACAGACATTTAAGCTGGCCAAGTTGACAGCAATTTAGTTAGACTCCCCAGGGGGATAGATCGATCTAAATATCTGTGGGAATGGTCTCTAAGTATGGGCATCAATTCATCAGTAATGTTCAAATTTAAGAATTGTATGGCAATGTATTTGGCCTAAGTCATAAGGAACAAAAAATTATGATTATATGAATGTGGTCTTTCAAATATAAGGGCATTTTTTTCATCTGACCACCTGTAATGACCTGTTAGTAGTGCAGTGCTTAAACAAATTAAGGAATATAAGGGAATTTAATAATGGTATAATTTCTGCTAATATACCTTTATGGTCCTTTTGATATATAATCTAGACTCTATTTCATTCATTATCACACAACCTAATTCACTGTTCACAGGAAAATACAACATCTTTTACCATTCAAGTACTCATTCTCAAACAAGAAAAGAATGAACAAAAAAAAACTTAGGTAATAAATTCTTTATGCTATGTCCAATTACTGAAAAATGTCTGGATTTATGAAACACATGAAAAACAAATCAAACTGTCTCTTGATGCCTATAACCACCATCCCCTAATGAGGATAAATGCCACTCAGTATTAACTCACTGGCTACCAGCCTCAATATACATGTAACATGATCAACAGTCTATTCATTTGGCCTGATATTTCAATCACTTTAATTTCAGTGATCAAAGCAGAAAGAATTTACTTTCTGCTGGCACTTGGCAAGTCATCATGTTTGATCTGGAGATAGATAAAAACAACTGGGCTAAAGTAAATGAGACTGCGTAATTAGTTGATGTCTGAGTCCTTTTAGGTCATCTTACAAAGTCAAATTGGGTCTGAACATATTTCCTGAGCTTGCCAAATTAATTTGACAATAAAAAAAGAATGTGTCCCCCCCCCCCCCCCCAAGAAACAGTACTAATCATCCTCATTGTCTGTTAATGTCTTTATGCTCTACAAATCATATAACTCAATCTTTTCAATGAGGAAAATTATGAATTTTACAGATATTGTATTTTTTCAAGTCATACATTCAAGTCAAAAAAAGTTAGAACATTCCTGTTGTGTAATAGCAACAAAACTGATAAACAGGCTACCTTATAGGTCTATTGTATACAGAAAAAGCACTACAGATGTTACACAGAAAAAATATTTTTAATGTTCTTAAAATTATGTACCTGAAAAATAAAAGAGGAAAATCCAGACATACAGACAGTTATATTTGTCTCTGTAATTTTGCCACTGTGTCATCTTACATTGCCAAAGAAAATGAAATTAGGAAAGTGGCTTTCAGGTAAGAAAAACACTTATTTTTTCTTTGATGTCAATTGGCCTAATAATCACATTTGATATATGTCAGGGGATTTCGTTTACAGTCCTGTCCAATCAATAAATTATGTAATACATGAGAATATGTCTTTCTCCTTGTACCTGACACGGAGAAATCAATGTGTGAGGAAGAAAAAACTGACTCAACAATGATTTTTACTTCTGCTATATTTAATTTTAGTTTGAATCTTGAATACAATGTTTAGTCAAGTTGTATTTTGTGGAATCAGTGACATGTTGCCTACATAATTAAATTTATACAATCATAACAATCCAGGTTTTCCCACAAGTTTAAAGCACTTCAAAACTTTTATGATAGTGTGAGTATGAAAGTATGTGTATGCATGTGCATGCGTAGGTGAGTCTGCATGCATAAGCCGTGATTTTCAATTTCTCAGAAGACCCTGCTCAAAACAGACCGCAGTCTACATAACTATCTACATATATCATCTGGTAATGCCAAAGACTATTTTGTCCTGATGTACAATATCTTTTTTTTCTTTTTGGTCTCTAAATGCATTTTTCATTGACCTGACAGATATTATGATCTCATACAATTCCACACATTTTATTTTCCATTTTGTAGGCAATGATGGATCAGAATCCAATTTCTCTAAATCCAAAATAAAACACTGACCACCTTTATACTAATCCATTTTGTTGCCAGGATATTAACTGGCTGAAGTTAATTGAACAATTATCAAATTGAACTGCACCGGGGGCAAACTCGGGGAAGCAGCTTTTTAATTGATTGCTTAATTTGCCTTAAAACACGCTTTTGGTGAACCACATGTGCACACAAACATGGTCTTTGGGAAAAAAACTTTTCAGTGTTTCTGTCCTTCAGGCCACAAAGAGCTAAGTGAGAACATTGCCCAGTAAATTGATAAAATGATAACATTTTACTCCTTTAGTGTCAAAAGATCCAAGTAGGAATAGTGCCCAGTAAATTGATAAATTGATAATATTTAACTCCTTTAGTGTCAATAGATCTAAGTGGGAATAGTGCCCAGTAATATTGATAACATTTTACTCCTTTAGTGTCAATAGATCTAAGTAGGAATAGTGCCCACTAAATTGATAAAATGATAACATTTTACTCCTTTAGTGTCAATAGATCTAAGTAGGAATAGTGCCCAGTAATATTGATAACATTTTACTCCTTCACTGTCAGTTTTACTGTCATTCCCCATAGGACTGCAAATAATACCACCAACACTTATGTTCACTTTGGTGCATAATGAAATCATTTTTTTTTGCATTTAGTCCAGGTCAGTGACATATGCAGTCAGATGGTCTTCAGCTCAGCAGTAGGCAACATCTTGACAGGTGACTCCAAGTTACCAAAGTTTTCATACAATCAGGTGTCCAACATCATATTAATTTTATTCATCCTAACATATAGTGTCATGTGTATATGAAATTCTTTGTCTTTTGGGTTTACAAGACTTTATTAAATATACATTATATTTACATGCATGGAACTGAAAAGATGACATCCTTGTTCTTGCTGGCACCCTGATATCATGTAAAAATATGCAAAATGTTTCTAAGATTATAAAAACATCAACCTCCCTTCACTACCATTGACATCCCATTGTTATTCAACATTTCAAAACATCTCACAATTCTTCTATCAGACATGATTTTCAACCTGAAAAGGAGGATATCTGGCCAGGAAGGAGGAGGGAGGTTTTCTTCAAAGCCGCAGGAATCCTTTCACATTTGCCACTAGTTCGAATTGCTTTTTATGCAATCATGTCCTCGTTTCTGTTGGGAACTAATCTGTTATCCTGAAAGCATTTTCCACTGAATAAAGCACCAAGAGCCCCCATGATGCAACTTGAACTTCTTTCGACTAAAACATGTTTGTTTTTATAAGTCCTCTTAAGGACATGGTTTTAAAATTTCCCAGAAGTGTTTTTCTTTTCTTTTTTTTTCACTTTTGTTTAGCAATACCTTGAACTTCAATTGTTTCAGTTTCTTAGAAGTAGCACAATCCTCCTTTAATGAATCATTTGGTTAGAAAAAAAGCAAGACCTTGGAGTTCTTGAATGCTTTTTATAGAGACACACAAATATATTTTTTTCTCATCACAACCAGAATATCTAATGTATCATCTTTGGAAGGTCTAATGTAATACAGGTAATATATTACAATGATTTAACACTTGCTGAGACTTTAAAAACTTTTATTATTAGTGTATACAGCTGATACAAATACAAACTCTCTACTGCCCTAAAGTTGACCAAGTGCTATATAACCAAACACAATGGGGCTGATCTTGAGGTGTGTGC